TATTAACATCACCCGTTACTTTTCATTTTCATCCGATGATGATGCATTGAATTGACTAGAATGAGATAGTTAAGTATTGAATGTATAAACTATGTCACTAATTAGATGAGATATGGACATTCTCTCGATAAGCCTTGTAGGCATTTGAAAAAACAAACGAGATAGATATATTGAGATTATTTTGATAGGTGTCAAATAAACAATATCAAGTTGAGTGTAATAACATTCTATTGATGGGTATTATGGTTTTTACTAGACAAGTTGAGTGTAATAACATTCTATTGATGGGTATTATGGTTTTTACTAGACAAGTTGAGTGTAATAACATTCTATTGATGGGTATTATGGTTTTACTAGACAAGTTGAGTGTAATAACATTCTATTGATGGGTATTATGGTTTTAGTAGACAAGTTGAGTGTAATAACATTCTATTGATGAGTATTATGGGTTTTACTAGACAAGTTGAGTGTAATAACATTCTATTGATGGGTATTATGGGTTTTACTAGACAAGTTGAGTGTAATAACATTCTATTGATGAGTATTATGGGTTTTACTAGACAAGTTGAGTGTAATAACATTCTCTTGATGAGTATTATGGGTTTTACTAGACAAGCTGACAATAGTTACACAGTTTCGTGTAAATACTGACAATAGTTACAGTATTAATTGATAGACTGATAATAGTTTTAACACAGTTTTAACTAAGTAGTGACAATAGTTAGACAGTTTTAACTAAGTAGTGACAATAGTTACAGTTTTAACTAAACAGTGACAACACTCACATTTTAACTAAACAGTGACAACAGTTACAGTTTTAACTTAATAGTCCAATAGTTATACAGTTTTAATTAAATAGTGACAATAGTTACAGTTTTAACTAAATATTGACAATAGTTACATAGTTTTAACTAAATACCGACAATAGTTAGACAGTTTTAACTAAATACTGACAATGGTTAGACAGTTTCAACTAAATACTGACAATAGTTACACAGTTTTAACTAAATAGACTGACTTTAATTACACAGTTTTAACTACATACTGACAATTGTTAGACAGTTTCAACTACATACTGACAATTGTTAGACAGTTTCAACTAAATACTGGCAATTGTTAGACAGATTTAACTAAATAAACTGACTATAATTATACAGTTTTAACTGAATACTGACAATAGTTTGACAGTTTCAACTAAATACTGGCAATAGTTAGACAGTTTCAACTAAATACTGGCAATTGTTAGACAGCTTTAACTAAATAAACTGACTATAATTATACAGTTTTAACTAAATACTGACAATAGTTTGACAGTTTCAACTAAATACTGGCAATAGTTAGCTTTAACTAAATAAACTGACTCATATTACACAGTTTTATCTAAATACTGACAATAGTTAGACAGCTTTAACTAAATAAACTGACAATAGTTGCAGTTTTCAAATGGACAAGAACTCCAGGATTTAATATACTGATATTACCTTTATGTATTTAAAAAAGTTTACTCAAATGGACATACAATTTTCTAGAACAGAGTGTTGAATATCTTGATTATATTCACAAAGTTAACTTCTAAATATTTACACAATATTCACATGAATAGTCACCAGCATAGCATGTCCTTGATGTAAGAAACACTTTCATATTAATTTATGTATATAATATTCTCAACTTGCATATGTAAACCTGGTAGACACTTTTAGCGTCTGAGAAGAAGTGAAAACTCGGACCAGGTAGAACTGAAACAAACACATCTTGCTCAGTCTCTGTTTACACTTCTTACAAAATATTTCAGATCATAACATTGTGTGTAAATACTTAAAATTTCTACAGTTCATGATTGCTCTATATAATTGTATATTCAAATCTAAGAATCACTAAGGATAACCTCTAAAACGAGGTTAGGCACACCATATAACATACAGAAACAGGTGTAAGTGTTCAAGTAGGCCACTGGAAAAAAGTTTCTTTAAAGGTTATGTTTTCCAAAAATATACAGAAATAGTGGGTTTCATGAACCAAAATAGTGTAGCAGCTTGAAAATTTTTGAGGAAATTTTACAATTGCTTCAGGGTTTTATTAGTTGAAAATGCATAGAATAAAACTTAAAAGTTTTTAGTATAAGTAAGTAACCAAGAACATATATATAAAAAAAAGAGGCGACAAGAGGACACCTGTGTTGTGAAATAAGCTTGGAAACTAGTAACCAAGGTCAGAAGCATAGTTACGTAAGGAACATTGCCTAGAAACAAGATGAGTGCACTAGTACTTGTGTTTACTGACCTCAACCTCTTAGAACTAGGAAATTTATAGAAAAGTTTGGTTTAGTGAGTAATATCGGCACTTTGAGGCGATATCAATTACAGAACATGGGTGTAGCAGTACAAGTGAATAGGTGGCTGGCTAACACCACTTATCTATAACCAATTACTTGAGAGTTCTGGTTATGGTTTAGCCCGGGAATTCCCCTAAAGTATCCAATAGGTGATGCTGCGTCCTATCTAGTGTGTCGAGATAATACCAAGAAAAGTTTAAAAACCCATGTCAGGGACTGAAAAATCAGTTCCTTCAGGAATCAGAAAGTTCTCTCAGGAGTTCCTAAGATCTGAAGAAAGTCTGAACAATGAAGGTACCGTATGTGGCTAAGACTTCCAACAACACAACTCTACTGTAAGTATAATCTCTCTCTTAATCAGCTGGTGTAGAATTATAGACGATAGTAAATGTATATAAGTAGTAATCCAATATAACTAATATTCAAAGTTTGTAATGTTTTGAGAAGTTGTTAAATGTTAAATAAATGTTATTCTAAGTGTTCACCATTGGCCTGAGACTATTTCTTTGGTCTAACTGTAAACTTCCTTGAGTTAGCAACTTGTGGCTCCGCTCGTTATGACAAATCGTCCAATAAATAAATTTAGTGTAACGAGTAGTTTTAATTGAAACTCCAACAATTAAGCCCACCAGGGCGCTACTCATTACAATAGAGCTAAATAAACACAAATTTTCAATTGACTAATAATAAATATGAATTTCTTTAACTAACTGTAAAATTTTCACGAAAAAATCCACCAGTTTGTGTGTAAACACAGAGATTCTAATAATGCTGAAAATGAAGCCTCACATCAAATATGCTACAAATTAGTTACATTTCTGAATAATTATGGTAATATTATGTCAAATATCTTACAGTACTGTGTTTGGTTAAATTTATAAGTTTACCTACAAGCCTAAATACTTTTATGGCCTATTTTTAACAAAAATAAAGGATGACAATGAATATAAAATGTTTTATTGTTTTCACCGGGAGGTTTGCAAATAGCATCTTATGTAAAAATTAATAAATTATATTATAAAACTTGTAATAAATTATTGTAATTTAAAGGCACCTTCAATAGAGGAATCTTCTAGGAAGAAACAGTTTCTATAGTGATTAAAAATATACTTTTTTCAATTATTCAACTGATGCATTCATTTTTTTACACCAATAACCCACTCTATATACTGGAGTTTCTTATGCCATGTGTTAAGCTAGTGGAGCTTTAATAATAATAACAAATTACAAACTATTTCACACATTATAAAACGAAAAGCTGTGACATAAATAACCTCATTAGCCTATAGTAACGTTTCATGCTATAATGTGTTGGTTAGAATACAATTCTTATTGATAACCATTTTGAAACTAGAAGGAGAAGCCTGTATCAGGTATATAAATAACCTAGTTACTGAATGACTAGGATAATGTGACATACAATATCTTGTTACAGAAGCCTGTACCAGGTATATGAATAAACTGGTTACTGAATGACTAGGATAATGTGATATACAATATCTTGTTACAGAAGCCTGTAACAGGTATATATATATATATAACCTGGTTACTGAATAATGAGGATGATGCGATATGCAATATCTTGTTACAGAAGCCTATATCAGGTATATAAAAAACCTGGTTACTGAATGCCAATGATGATGTGATATACAATATC